TTATACATATATCATGTATCTTACTCTTCTAGATGTATTTCATATATTACAATTTTCTACAGTCCTAACTCATTGTAAATCCATTAGAGGTCACTTACCAATTTCACCCAAGGTGTTAGGTTCTGTAGCAGTATCCAGTCATGAAAATTTTATACTATTTCATGGACTAGTTGTATATTATCCTACATTAACTTTTATACATCAGAATTGGCTATAATTATCACATAAACAGACATAATTCTATATAGTTATCATTCAAAGTTTCTAGTTGGACAGTTGCAACATGTGACAACAGGGGGATTAGTTTTGACATTTTCAATACATGAAAAAAATTCTTAAAACTTCCCGTGGATCTTCTGTTTGTGCATTTCTTTAACCTTTGATAAATAAAGTGTTTTTACTGTACATCACAACAAGCCTTGCCTTTTTCTTTACACTCCCAACAAAATTCACTCTGCTTCTCCTTAATACTAAATCCACAGATCTCTTGTTCATTGTTTGTACACTTCAAAGAATACAGAAATTCCATTAATTTTCCATGAACATTTTTTGAGTGACAGGATTTGGTCTATCTAATTTCCCAAACTGTGTTCTGTGGAACCCTAGGATCCATACAATATATCCAGGGGTTCCACAAGAAAATTTTGTGTAGTGAACTTTGAGTCAAGAAGCAGGCCATGTATAGGTATGGTTTAACTATACTTAACATATAAATACAAGAAACAGAAAATAAAGTTCTATAAATGTATTCATATATGTAGTTCCCTTTGGTACAAAGATGATAATTTTTTTATGATTTAACATTTTAACATAAGAATGTTTCTTAAGGCTTCCAGCAATAGTTTTAGAGCTCAAAAGTGTTCCATGGCTGAAGAAGTTTAGGAAACTTTGATCTAGACACTAAATCAACTAAAATGGGACAATGAAGAAAATACAACAAAACTATGAAAATGTTATGCTGCTGGTAAATGCATTCTAATTAACAGGTCAAAAAATCAGATTAAATAAAATCACTACAGGATGTAAGCAGAATTATGACCACTATCCAGAATCAGAGAATATTAGATCAATCCATAATGCTCATCCTATCTTAAAACATTGATGATTTTTTATTTTCTTCTGTGTGGACAGTGCTACAGAAAACACACTTTGTGCTACTGTCATCTATCCATGAAGTGTACCTTTTGTCATTAAACAAGGTTCACTGAACCAGCACTTTCCAGGCATTATTTAATATGTACACAAATTTGATAAATGCAAAAAATACTTTTTACTTCATTGATGACAACAAATAATAATAAGGCAGACCTCTTTCTCACATAGATATTAATATTATATGTGCTAACCAATGGAAGACATTTTTTATAGATAACAGTGGCAGTATTACAGTGGAAAAACCAATAAAAGAAGATATTTCATTCTGAGAAATGGCACAACATGAATAGTAAGGCAAAAACATCAGACATGGAGTGAACTGGAAGTCTGCTATAACTATACTGCATGCAATTTCTGCAGTATGCATTGCCGACAGGGCACATTCCAAGTATCTTGAATGAACAGACTACTACAAAGTGTATGTGGTATGTGCATGACAAAGTGTGAAAATATTATAGTTTAGTGAGAATTTCTGAGAAATTAACATCAGCTTTGGCTTTGTTATAGCAAACAGAAACATTACAGCACTTTCAGTGTGATGTTGGAGGTCTCAAAGACAACATACAAGAGAAAGGAATGATCTGTAGGTTATTCTAAGCAACGAGGAAAGTGATACACAACTGTGGTTGTTTTGATTTGCAAATTGTGACACAAACTGGATAATTTGTCCCCTAATATACCACAATCACAAACAGAATTTGAGAAAATTTCCCAACTTTCAAGGTGTGGAAGACATTTTATTTTTCTACTGATTTTCCAGAAACTTCATGACTCATACAAACCCTGTTTGATGCTACAAAAATCAAGTAACTTTGAACTTAATTAATCCTTAAAATACCATAAATGTGTATGACCATACGAAAACAAATGGTGATCCTAATATCAAGTAGATGATAAAAATAAAAAATTATCACACATAATTAAACATTCATTTGTCAATCTTATTGGTATAGCCATTTTAATTCAAAAATCTTGTCTGGTTTTAACCATCAAATTAAAAAAAATAGTAACTGTAATAACTGTTTTGACTTGATGTTTATGATCTTTGATTTAGTTTAACAAACAGTTTTGTAACAATGTTATAGAACTACTTTAATTATGGCTACTGCCCAGTCAGGCAAAATTAAAAACTGTACAATTATAAAAAAAAATGCCTATAAAATTTTATCATATATTATTAAAACATACAAAAAATTTAAGGAAACAAACTTTAAATTATATTAAACATATTTTTCATGCTAAATCACTTAGGTAATTTTTATTACTAATATTGTAAAATTATTACATATTCAATAACTTACTCTGAAGTTCATACACTAATTCCACATCAGACAATAGTCTAGAGTGGGAATCCTTTCCTGGATCAATAGTCCGTACATGAAGCAACTTACTCCACCATCCTTCACTTGCCTTATCTGTTTGACTGCTGCTGATACCCCTGTATTTGGTGAAAGAACAGTACAGTTGAAGGAAATAAAAATTGTACATTTATGAAAAAGTAATATATGGTGAATGATAAATTTCCTTCCAGAAGTCTAAAATTATTGGAGATATCTAAGCAACTACCTTCAAAATAACTAATATGATTAAGCACCACTATAATATATTTTGGTGCCTACAGTACACACTGAAAGAAAGTTGTAAAACACAAGTACCACAAAACTATAAAAAAGACATTTCCTACAATGAAAATGTATTTCCAATAGATACTCACATCTAGCTTTCCCAATTCAGTGCTGTCATCTATACACAAATTTTTTTGCTTGCTACAAGCCTTGAGGCTCCAAACTAAATCTCAAGTGTTTCCATTTGATATTGATGCATAGTTGAATGCATATAAGCATGCAACAACCCTCCACCAGTAGAGACAAAAATGAGTGTATTACAAGAACAGCCCATTCCATGGCCTGAAGGCATTTGAAGGTTGGACCTGACTGAGATGTGAATTGAAAAATACACCTAAATGGATGAGATACTGTGTGAGAGTAAGAATAGACTTCTCCATTTTGATGAGAAACCCAGCTCTCACAGCTTTGGATAAAAGAGCTCAAGTGTGAAACTATGCCAAGTGATGGGAAGGAGCAAGAAGAAGCCAGTCATCCAAATAATGGTGTGGATGCTCAATGAGTGAAAATGACATGAAAAAGATCTGACAATCTGGAAAAAGATGTACGGTGCATATGCAAAGCCAAAAGGTAGAATGCAAAACTGAAAAACCTATCTCTCATGCATAAAACAGAGATAATGACATGAAGACTCCATGATTGGAATATGAGGATAGGCATCAGCAACATTGAACTTTGTTTGTCATCCATAAACCGGGTGCAAAGTGCCACTGGAGGGAAAGAAATGACTATGGTAAACTGAGGAGTCTGGAGGAAATGATTGAGATGAGAAAGATCGATGACATGTCATTAATTGCCCACTTCTATGGAACTACGAGAAAATGGGAATAAAAACCCTTGATAGAGGAGTCGACACACTCTACGGCCTCTTTGGATGACTTGTGCCCGACAACTGGATGTAAGACAATCTATGGGGATGGGAAAGACAACCAGTATGAGAGACAGTGGAGGAGGAGATGTAAAATGAAAAACCAATCCTCTTGTAAGAACCTGATTAACCCACTCATCACTGGCAAAGATCTCCCATACAGATGTGAACCATCTGATTCAAGCCACCATAGAACCAGACCCATTGTCAGCACTTCCCATGAGCAGAGAATGCCCACTGGTAAGGGCAGAATCTTCCTTCTATTCTTATAGAGATGCAGAAAACTGTCCAGCAGAAGACCAAGAAAGGCAAGAGGCCAGTGTCAAAAGAGATGAGTGGAGATGGGCCACATCTAACCGACATTCTATGGAATCTGGAAAACCTGCAAAATCAAATGTCTGAGAAAAGGAGCTTCTCTGAGATCTCAAAGGGTCAAATAAAGAAGTTGAATGCCCTCAAGAAAGGCATCTCTCTGCAAAAGATTCCAAAAATCCAACCAAGAGACCAAAGAGAGAGCAGAAGCAGCTGATAACTGTACCAAAGCAAAGTAGAATTCAATAAGTGACTAAGATCTTCTAAAAATTGAGCAGGAGTCCTTGAAAGGCCTCAGACAACAGTTGCAAAGAAGATAAAACTGCAAAACTCACATAACTGATAGTCAAATTCAGGAAAACCGAGTTAGGTTAAGAAGAATAGTGGCATCAGGCTCAGAACCCCAAATAGGAAGAAGAGGATCTCACTTCTGAAAATCTATATATGGGTCCTCCGAGCAATGGAAAGCTAATGCATGCTGATAAAATATACAGGGAGGACAATGCATGGCAGCACCAACTCTCAATTGATCAGCAAATCTCTGAGCATGCACATCAATGTCTAGTGAAGGTGGAAAGACCAGGTAATCAGCTGAATGACTTTCCACTAACAAAGAAGGAGAAGAGTCGTAAGCCACAGGAGAAATGCTCAAGACATTACAAACTTGATATATTAGGTGTAAACATGGTTGAGGAGGCGGGATGTCTGAGTCTCGTTATTAGCTGTCTGAGCAATGGAAGGAGCCAGAAAAAAAAATCTAAATTCTCACCAGTCCATCCCTGATCCTCCATAAGCTCAGCCTCTGAGCCGAGAGGAGAAGAAACATCAGACCTCGTGTAAGACTCCACCTCTCTTCATATGAGGTATTGGACATCCTCTGTTCAGTGGGGGCCTCCCCACAATGCCCAGGCAATGCTAGATTCCAAAGGTGGCAGAGTAGCAGCTCAAAAGAGTCAGCATGTCAGAGACATAGATATGAGAATTCATATCTGAATTGTCTCAGATTTTTTTTCCTATAAAAATTGATAATAAACTCAAAACCCAATAAGATGGGTAAAAAAAATACATACAAAGCATAGGTATAACTAAAGTTATACAACACATGAGAGAAACCCACAGGAAGCACAAAGAACCTTTGTTGTAACATTCTGCCATCAAGAAAAGTGAATAGGAAGTAATAACAGTGAGCAAATATACAGATCTAGAATAGGGGTGCATTGATGTAGGTGGAGAGAATCACAATATTTAGCTTGCTATGACCAATATAGAGGAGAACAAAGGCTAGAGCAAGTGATATAAGATTCATACCAATGCTTAGATGGGCAGAGAAAAGAAACCTTTGTTAGGATAAAGCTAAAGTGTGAGATAAGGTATGTGTGTTTTGAAAAACAGAGTAATAGGTTACTACAACCAAAGACAGCAAGTATAAGCCATATTTAAGGACAGGACTACACTTGATGTTGTCTCTTTCTTTTGTATGGAAAAATGTTATACCAATTATTGAGATATACTGTCCAAGCAGAAAACCCCATCTCAACAATGGGTGCTGAGTAAAAGCAAATAGGTTTAACACTCACTTAATGTGGATCTTGAGTAGGTTTTCCCTGTGAAGCAACTTTGGCCAGTTGGCAGGTTACAATGGCACAATCTTAAGAAGCACAAGATTTAGTTCCTCAGGCAACATTTGATCTTGTGAGTCTTGCCTCCTCCAGTTTGTTGTTTGTTGTTATGATGGAATGTATAAAAACTCATAGTACACATATGAAGATACTATGAAATGCATGAATGATATGGGAATGACGACTGGAAAACACAACAGGTACAACTCACCACACTAGAGCCTCTAGGAGACTGAAGAATGGTAAATTGATGGAAGCAATAACCAGGGGCACAGGAAGCCACCCAGTGATGATAGCAATGAAATATGTTGTATGTGTACTCCACATACAAGCCTGTAAGATTTCCAAAAATTGGAAATGAAAAAAAGGCAACAGAAGCTGTGAAATGTCAAAACTGGCAGGAGGAGATGCAAAAAGGTGCAAGGTTAGACTCACCCATAACTATGCAAGAACATGTAGGTAATGTAGAAGGGGAAAATTCCCCAGATGAGGTCTGCCACAGCAAAAATAGTCAATACTGATTTCCACAAACAGGCAGCCAGTAGAAGACACAAAGATGATCAGGATGAGAAGCATAGTAAAATGATGAAATAGAAGGGGGGGAGATGGGAGAAAACATCTGTTCATCCTCCCATGCAATTCAAGACTTCAGAAGTAAGAAGTAGACTGGAAACAATATCAACCAGTCCTAATGATAAGGAGTATGGAAAATGTCTAAGGTTTAAACCTCTGACCAACAACAACCACAGGCAATGATAATGATATAGTATGTCTTGCGAGACAAATGATGCAAGAAACATGAAAAAAACACCACAAAGGTGGAGGGCAAGTAAGAGTCTAAAGAACCACAAAAAGGTCCCAGTAGGGAAGAGGGACCAGATGATGAGGAGGATGAAAGGAAGAGGCAGAAGGGTGTGGACAATGCCTACAGTAACCTGCAATGGATGAAGCAGACAGGCCCTAGATGAAAAGCCAGACAGAGAAGGAAGATATGGAAATGTAGAACAATCTAGCTGAAGAAAATGGTGGAGGGACTAATGGTGGTAGACAGTTTACTTACAGTGATAAAGGGCAAGAGCAGAAGGTTGAAAAGAGTAAGAGGAAAAAAATTAATACTCCACAAAAAATTCCTATACATCACACAATAGACTGGACAAATCTCACCTGTGAAGTCAAAGGGAAAAAGTAGAAGGTAGGATAAGTAAAAAACATCACTCCAGGAACTAAGATCCCCAAGTCAGAATGTCATTCAGAAATGCACCTCACCCTAAACAGGTGAAAGTCTGGAATGAAAGAAGGAAAGGGAATACCAGAGTTGGTGGTAGAGAGGTATAGCCACCAAGCAAGATCCTCCAGAAGTAAAGGAAAGAGGTAGATTTGCAAGGTTAGTGGAAACCTGAAAAGGTTCCATTCATATATCCACTGTAGGGAAGACATATGTGCACAGCAAAGCAAAAGGAGAGGTTTCAAATGAGCCATGGCCCCAAAGGAGAACCCCAGTCCAGAAAGTAAATTCAAGGTATGAAATACGGTAATTAGATATTAAAGGTCTAGTAGGCAAATAGAAGAAGGTTGGGCATAGCTGACATGAGTCAAGGCTAAATGAGAACTAGGATCAGTGAAAAAGGATGAGGAAAATTGATGAGACACTCCAAATGATCAGAATCACAAAAAGGAAGTGAAGTGAAGTAGAGAGGATTATGCATGAGAAAAAGTGAAGAGAAGCCTGTTATCAACATAAAATGGATCACAGACCCAGAATGTGATCCAGGCAATTGAAGGTTCACATAATGTGAATGAGAATGCAGTGGGACCAAAGCTATACCCAACAGAAAGGCACAGAACTGGAATGTGATCCAGAAGGATGAATAGGAGAAACAATTGTGAGGTCAGGGGATTATAATGTGGAGAAAGGCACCTGAAACACAGATCTTGGTCTTTCATAGGTCAAGCTGAAATGACCAACAGAAAGAAGTTCACAATCCAATAATGTGTGATGACCATGGAAGAGAGG